CAGACTTTCTCTTAATGGAACAAACATATTAAGCAATAGCTAGAAGTTTATTTCGCGCCGCTGACAGAAATATGAAGCTTAAGAAAGTTCTTGCACATTTTTGCCACAAGCTGTCCGTCTATTAGGCAGCGTCTTCGATGAAAGGTCCCGGGTGACTTAACTTTTTCCAACACTTCCGTCAATTTTTAAACCTTGATAAATTATATGCTTAAATCTCCTCACGAATCTATCTATTGGTAAAAACTGTATAAAAATACCGCATAATATAGATAATTGGCATTTAGCTTAAGGAGTGGGGGCTCGCTACTTCACAACTATGTAGAAAAAGTAAAAAGGTGTGGCATCATGTGACGTTAATTGATAACGCAAAAAATAAAAATACGTGTTAAAAATACTTTAAATGATCTATTCGACGTACAGGCAAACAAAAATAAGTCATCATAACTATAGTAATACTCTACTATCTCACATAAAAAAGTATCAGTGACACGGTATTGTTCTATCCCCTACGATACGTGTCTTATTTTTTTCTTGATACTTATAAATCCCCTAGTTACATCATTTACTTAAAAGTTTTCGGGCCGGAGATTGTCCCTTAATGATTTTATTGAAATCAGATAAGCAGTTTTATTTTTATAATAAAAAATCTGAAGTCTGCCAGAAAACAAAAATACACATTTTATCACTGAAAAAGACACCGGGTAGATATTTGCTTTCCTACGGTTTTTGTTAAGTTAAGATCAAATTTTTAAATATCACTTAAATTTTTTTTTTGTAATAATAAACGGATTTCATTAACCTGAAAGGTAAGATAGAACTTTTTTTTATAGTTTATATGTATTCCTTTTATTATCTTACTGCCTGCAGGACATTAATTAACACATAAGGCTTCGTGGTTGTATTATGAAGGAAGGGTCATATGAGGTTAGTAATATCCTTTGGGTAAGTAATAAGTTGCCACATCCTGTAAATTCTGTTAATTAAAAAATAAGTCGCTTAACAAATTGAGTATAAATATGCCTTCATTCGTCACCAGTGACCAAAAAATAACAAAAGTTTGATCCTCTAGTATCCTTAAAAGATAATACTGAATCGATTAAAGTGGAATTTAGTATAAACCATGTATGTGTACAACTCGGAAAAGACAGGCTAATTGTTATCTCGAAAATTATCTCAGAAAAAGAGCTGAAATAGGAGTGAAAGTTTACATAGGGAATTATTTAATTACATTCTTACATATACGTCGATATTAGGGGTCATCCATAAATTACGTCACACCTTAGGAGGGGAGGGGGGGGGGGAGTTCGACGAACTGTGACATTAGAACAATATTTAGTAGAATTTAAAATATCCCGAATTTTGTGTGACGTAATTTATGGACGACCCCTTACCTATCACGTTAAAAACACTGGTTAGTTTTGTACGATATTTTAAATACAAAAGGTGAACCTACTTGAAATATTAACTTCATGCACATGAAGTCGCGAGCTAGATTCTTAAATATATAAGAAAAAGTCAAAACATCATCCCTTTGACGTAATTCAATAAAAAACTATAAGAGGTCATTGATCCCGGAAGATAGTGCCGCACGCGCCGCACAGGTGTTCGGTCGATACTATCGATTGAAAAAATCGATGCGTGACGTCAGAACGTGACGGCTGCGCGCGCAGCTGGCCACAGAGCTCTATGTTAATGATGAAGGGCTGTCGTAGGGGTGTACAATTTCGGCACGCAACTTTTTTGATGTTATGCCTGATAATGCAACAAAGGGTTTTGTTAATATGCAAAAGCGTGCAGTGAAGTTTTTTTGTGTTATTATATTAATGGATTTAGAATGTTAGGTGAAGGGGTGAAACTCTTATTATTTATATATTTCTGTGTCTTAAAAAAGAAAAGAGAAGTTATTTTAAATAAAAATTATTATTTTAATGTAATGCATGCCTTCGTTACATAGAATTTGCGGAGTAATACTCGCATACCACATTCGTAATGAATGGATTTTTCACTACACTACAAATCGCTCTTTGCTATATCTTACGTCTTTTCGATGTGGATTTAATTATAGTTAGGAAATTTCTTGTCTAACTCTTAAAAGGCACTATCCTATTACTTCTTAGAAAATACGAGTATATTAAAATGTGCTTCACACGTTTAAAGTAATATCATTATTCAAAATAAAACTTTCAGTAAAGAAATTAATAACGTAGTATTAAAATTGAAAAGAAGCTTGAATACTTTTACGTCTTCTATTGTTTCAGTGCTTATATTTGAAATTGTATGCCTTTTAATATTTCATGTCAAAATACCTATATACAGATGCATTTCAATTATCTTGAATCAATTTAATCTATAATACATTATCAGTAGAAAAGTTCAACATTGATTGGCCTTTATAGTTTTGGTTTGCTGCTGTGTATACAAAGGCGCATCTAATGTCGTTGGTATTCTTTAGCTACCAATTTTATGGTGAGGGACGAGGGAAGATGACTAACGATTTGATGAATCTGCTTGTTCCAAGAGATAGTCGAGTTAACAGATTGTATGTTTCACTTTATTTAATTTTAATGAAGATATTTACCTGAAAAAAAAGAATATAGAAAGACGAATAAGGATGCTTCTCACGTATGCAAGATATGCCGTTTTAATAACTGCTATGTAGCGGTGTGCCGTATCACCGTTTATTTCGTCCTAGGTTTCCGCATGCAAACTTTTTGTCTTTGATATTCGACATTTCTTTTTATTATTCACCTTTCGTAATTTGAAATTTTGACTAATCCAATATGCTCTTTATGAATGTCAGTTCGTAAAAAAATCATCTGGTGTGAATACAATCATATAAATTTAAATATAAAATAATTAATGTTAAATATTTCAGTCCTTATAATTTAAATAAAAATTATGTTAATCTAAAAGTATATCTTCGTGAAATATCGTTTAAGTTTTATCTATTACAGAAAACCCAGAAACGGGTTTTCTTTTTTCTTTTCTTTTATTACCGTACAATAAAATCAAGTTATCAAGCTTAGTCAGCCTTACATTCATTCGCCCAAGCATAAACCCGTCACAGCTATGTTTTGGAAAGGTTTGCGTACAACCAGGACAAAACCCAAATTTCGAAAACCTTTATTTGCTACATTTGAATACACAAGCGCGCTTCACCGTTCCGTATAAGCCATATCAAAGGGACCAGTGTCCAAATATTTGTGTGGCCCCCACACTGGCGCAGTTTACTGAAAACTTTGAACCTAAATGAGTAATCAAATCTTTCAATACATGTTTGAACACATACCTGGAAAATACAACAATTTTGACTAAATGTGTGAGCAGGCTTTTAAAGAAGTGATCGTTTATGTGAGCGGACGAGGAAAACTTTAGAGTAGGTGTTATTGGTATCTTCACTAAACGATAGAGTATTATAAAGTATTGCTTTTAAGAGTTAAGATATATTGTGTATTTGACAAAACATTGGTGGAGCGTGTGTATAATGTGTTAGGTACTAATGTTTAAAGAACATTTGATCTATTATATATCTACCTCTATAGAGTCAGAGTGTTTAAAATGAAAGTAAAGATTAATAAATGTTTCAATAAAACTACGTAAATTAGTTATCTCCATAGAGTTCGTGACATAACAGAAAGTAGCTTAACAGGACGTGGTATAGGGGCAGCGATAGCGTAAGTGACGTCACCTGAAATGTCGATGTCGACAAAAAACAACTTTACTATGCATTTCATTAGAGTTTTAGAGTTGTTGTTTACATAAAACGAAGGGAACAATAAACATATGCAATTTTTTTCAATAAGCGAGAAAATAAAATTACTGAGTTAATTACAAACTCAATAATTTAAATTACTAGTAAGAAAAATGGCATATCTATGCAACTTCAATCAAATAAACAAAACATGTAAATCACCACCATGCCAAAGCAGCACTGTCATTGTAAAGAAATTCATACTAAACCTATTTCTATAGTTATATTTCAGACTTATAATAATTTCAAACTATATGAACACTTTTTATAAAAAGTAGAACCGACTTCAAAATTTAAAAAAGTGATAAATTATACTTATCTCAAAAGCAACATTCAAGAAAATGTTATTAAAGTCGGGTGAAGTTTTTAGTGGGTTATTAATTAAATGATAGAATTACAAAGTTTGAAGTTAATAATACAAAGTTTTTATTTCGTGATTTTTAGTAATATCTATGTAAATAAAAATATTTACTATAAGTCTTACAATAGGAGATTTTGATGATTTGCCCGACCTATTTTTTTCCAATAATCTATATTCATATTTTAAAGAGAAAAGATTTGATTGCTTGTTTATTTGTATTGGATAGGCCCCAAAACTGTTGGAACAATTTATAAAAGTATTTCATCTACGGGAAGCTACATAATTGGCTGCGGACATGGGTTATAATTTACGCAGGTGAAGGCGCGGGGAAACAGCTAGTTTGATAAAAATTGGTTCACAATTTAAGAAGAAATCGATGAACATACTTTCACTATTTGGTACCTACTATCTATGACTTTCATAAAAAATGTACATCAAAGAATAAAATATATATACTTGTTGAACAGAGAACATTTTTCTTTCAGATTCTGAATGAACTCTAAATACGCAATCTCTTGTGTTTTAGCTGAAATGGACCATGCCATAACATGGCATCTTAATATTTAGGTGATCTCTGTTGGAAAGCGTTTCGATAAAATTGAAATGGGACTACCATGCTTCATCAAACTGTCGCGTAAAAAAATAATTTTGGAAATCGGTCAACAATTGACGAAAATATCGGTGAACATATATACAAAAACATACTTTATCGTAGATCTCATGACCTTTTTCGGTTTTGAAACGAGCCTTGCCTCGTTGTCTGAAATACAAAGAAGCTCAAGATAATAATACATTCTTGGTCTGCTCTTGCCAAATATGCTCCTCAATAAATGAACGTAGTATTAATGTCGGTTTAGATATCGATATAATTTAAAGTAGATCGTAACAATGTTCCATCCCTTAGGTTCCCTTGTTCGACGAGCCAGGTGTTGGGGTCATTGCGTCGTATGTATGTGTGTGAGTGCGCACACAGAATTATCATGCCAGTTAGGGGTTTCCAATGGATAATGCTGGCACAATTCTAATATCTGGTTACCTAAAGGGTGGACAGTATATACAATGATCTTTAAAATATTGGACAATAATGCTTTGTTTTATAATTTTAATTATCTAAAATGAATTACTTGGATAATAACTAGATATATTGAAATTGGTTCAAGGCATTTTATTAATATGTAATGGATATCTTATTTATATTAACAGTGTCTTCTTTATATCATATTATTAAAAACACAAAACTAGCAGTTTTTTGGAACCCAAAAGTTCTGCTATGAGTAAAGCTTAGAAGTACATAGACGTTGTGACAGCAATGCTTGAACGAGGACACAACTCTTAATGTATTCCGATATCACACATTAACTGACACGATATTGCCAATAAGAAAATGCAACATTGCTGCATCTTGTAGGCAGTTAAGAACGTGTAAACCGAACGAAAAGGCAATGAAAAGAGGGCAACATATAAAGAACAGAAACTAGAATTGTTACGCCTCAGGGTAGGTTGAGGGTGCAATGTAGAGTATTCGCCTTAAATAGTTAGATAAAGCATATTTTCACGATTTAAAAAAGAAATCAAAGTTCTCTTTACTACGGCCTAGAATCGTAGAGCCACACAACTAGATAGGTTGTTTGTTACCGAGGAGAAATAAATAGGGGTGTTTGCAGGATGCGGGGCGAAGGGACGGCAGGGTGCGTCGCGCAGGCGTGCTTCAGTCGCCCGCGCGACCCCGCTGCCGCCGGCCGCGCGCCATGGACGACACAAGAGCAAGAGATCGCGCGCCTCTCACCGTCATCGTCGCCCCGAGTAACGCTTCACCCCCCAGACTATCGCCTGCCGATCTCCTCCCGGACGGCGATGCGGCGTTTCACCCCCTGTCGGCAGTCAACGGACGGCTAACACCGCCAGGGCTCGAGCCGGCGTCCTATGCGACATTAACTCCACTTCTCCCTCTACCTCCTATAAGTACCGTATCTGATAAATTCGCGTATCATGCAGGCGGTACGTTTACGGTTATACAGCAACAACAGTCCTACGCATCCTTATCACCCGCTCCATACAATGAGCCTTTATCACCACAATCGGCATATAGCAGGCGGAGTGCGTCGCCGAATTCGTTCGAGAGGCGGTCGCCGACGCCACCTCTGCCGAGCCCTGGATTGGATCTCAACGCTGCGTTGATGGCAAGGGAGGAACAGCAACAGGCCCAGCAGCAAGCACAAAACGACACAGAGGAAATAAACACTAAGGAATTGGCCCAAAGGATAAGCGGGGAGTTAAAGCGGTACTCGATCCCCCAAGCGATATTCGCGCAGAGGGTGTTATGTAGGTCACAAGGGACGCTGAGTGATTTACTACGAAACCCTAAGCCATGGTCGAAATTAAAATCAGGAAGGGAAACGTTCAGAAGAATGTGGAAATGGCTACAGGAGCCAGAGTTCCAGCGGATGTCCGCCTTGAGGCTAGCGGGTGAGTTATGCATGATGCTTTTGTTTTCTTGTAGTTAGTGTGTTATGTTTGAAAATAATCTTAGTTAAGTAAAGCAATAACAATAGAGATAGTGAACATAATTGGTAAGGTGAGACACAATTGCGTTTTACTTTAAATTAATATTTTATCTGTTTAAAAAGTAATTTCAACAATTTCATATAAAACACCAACTATCATAGTATATTTTGGTAATTCTTATAAGCTTTTTAACTCAATACAAATTACTGCAAATTTAGAATATGAAGCTGAAAATACAATTAAAAGTTTAACGGTGATCTAAAGTAACTAACGGTAATATAAAGTTCTAATTAATATTCATAAACTACTTAATAATAAAATTAATAAATTGGTAATATTATAATTTTTAATAATATTGAAATATTATATTAATTGTATTTACATAAAATATTTATCTGTTATAGTGTAAATAAATGACGTATATTCACGTCACCATAAAAAAATCGAAGCGTTTATAAACAATGCGAACGTCAGCTGCTCGCATCGATTCGACGAGCATCGATTATATGCGGTCGATGCAGCGTGGCGCGTCACTACACGTTCAATACGCATTACTGTACGGTACTACGGGTGCTCCTAAAAGGGTCGGTCAATAGTATGCTCCTGAGGGGACAGTTTAGTTGATATCACAAAAATAAATGTTGACATATTTCATTATATTAGGATACAATGAATATTTTGATTCCCTTCATCAAAGTATAACTTGTTGTATTATTATATAGTTTTCGTTTAATATGGTACTACTTTTCCTGCCCTGGCTACAATGTTTTTCTTTAATTTTTGTCTATCGTTTCTCTATTCATTACTTTTAAATTTATATTATTCCGCATACAGCTAATCTGACTTTTTAGATTATTTATGGAAAAAATAAGAAAAAAAAAACGGACCATAAACCAACCATGCAATTGGAGTAATCAAGATTGGGTGATATTTTTTTGTTCACTTATCCTATGAGTAGCCCTTGCGAAAGTTGTTTAACCTACGTATCACAAATCGAACTCGCTAACCACTGCGCCATTGAGAAAATAACAGAATTTTATCTTATATTGTGTCGCTAACGTCAGCTGCTAGAATCGATTCTGTGCGGTCGATGCGGCGCGTCACTATGCGTTCGATATACATTGCCTCATAACACCGAGGTCAGCAACGTGCACGCGTATTAGAGGCGGGGCTGTTGATTGGCATAAGCATCAAAACTGATCATTTTTAAATATCTAGAAATTAGTCCGATACTCAGTTTTTAAATTGAATCAAGGTTTCAAGTACTATTGAATTACTAAAAAATATCCTATCTTACTTATTATACTTACTTATATACAGACTTATTTATTATAGTATTTTTTAGTAGAAATAGAGATTACTGATTAAATTATTTGCGTGATTTGGCAATTCACCATAAAAGTATTTATTTTACAATACCTTAGAGTCATTATATAAAGAAACCGCTGTTTGGCAATAATACCGTTTGTTGTACAACTCTCTTTTAGTGAAAAATTGGTTGTAAAAATTTTATATAATGGTCTAATAAAGTTTATAAATACCTAAATAAATTTTATAATAAATAAGATTGTCTACAGTTGCATAGATTCATGAATTATTGAGCAGGAATAGAACTATGACATAGTATAACTATAAATGGAACAGTAACAAAACATTTAGAAAATTTTGGGTGAGATTATTCCTGCTGCCACCCTCTTCTTAAATATTGTAGTGTCTTTTATAGGTCTTTTATATCTTAATTTGGGACACAAAATGTTGATTCAAATGGGGATTGGTAGGTGGTTGCTTTATTTTGTAAAAAAAAATAGTTAGGTACAATAAGTAATTTTACCTTTAAGAAAATAACTGTATCCGCTAGGATTCTTGGTTTTATAGTAGAACAGTTGTAATTTTTTTTAAGAGTAAATAATTTATTCTAACGCAACTACTAAGACTTTGGAAAACGAAATCACTTTGAGAAGTGAATTCAATGTTATTAACTAACCCACTGTTCGCTTATCATACGGCGAATGTCAGCTGCTCGCATCGATTCGCGAGGTATGGATTCTGTGCGGTCGATGTGACGCGTCACTACCCGTTCGATATACACTGCTGCGTGATATAAGGGTCAGTGGCACATTCATATCTTCAGTTTTGGAGTGGAGAACAACTGCAGATATTTTACTATCTTTTTAATTTAAGTACATTAGTTAATTGACAAAGAAAAATGTTGGAAATATTGTACCATAACTTCTTTAAAATAATTCTGGAAGGAAAAGTAAAGAAAAAAGGAAGTTTATACAACAAAATGAAAGAGAAAGCAGGAGTAGTGTTGTATCAAGAAATAAAATTGCATTATACAAAAAATTGTTTAGCGGGTGAATACATGAGCGATATATTTACCGGTATCTCTCACCCTTTTAGAGATTTACGCAGCAAACTAAAATTTATGAAATTTATCATTTGACACCACGAGGATTTAAATAGCTGAGTCAAACAAGCGTGTCACATCGAAATGGAAGATAATAATTAAAGACATAAAAATATCTTTAAAAATGTTTAAAAAATTCACTAGCTCCAAGTAACTTTAATAACCCTTAAAGCTTGGGTAGTTCGCAATTCAGACAACTGCTCTAATCATTGAGTTACCTAAGACCTGAGACGCGAAAAGATAGAAAGAATTGTTAATATGCAATTAACTAAATATAATAATCAATCTACTTCTTTAGAGAGAACCTGGAAGCTCGGACAGAGCTTTATTTTAGAATCCTTAATTATAGCGTTGTGTTGTTAGAGGCCACACAAATCTTTACTTTGGTTCCTATTGGTACAATGCTTTAAAATCTTTTGAAAAATTATAGAGCATTAAATATTCGACAATTTTGTTATAGACATTATTTTTACATGTTAGACCGATTTTGAGATAGTGTTTGAAGGGCTTGTGACGCTTAATCGTATGTTATATTATTATATATTATTTTTATGTTAAATCTTAATAAATATCTTCATTTTAAAAGGTACTATTATCAAAGATTTTTTGGTGTGCACCTTTATAATTGTACCTTGAATAATTTACGACCGGGACACGAGATTTTAGGAGATAATATTTAGAATTTAAAAATGAATGTGTTTCAGAGTTTCCAGCTTATTTACTCTATTTTAACTTTTTAGGCTATTTGTCTGGGCTTAATATTATGGTAATAGTATTTTCAATAATACCAAATTGGGGAGTTTTAATTTGGGCAAACTAGAATATCAAATATAACTAGAATATATAATACTTTTAAGACGAACTCTTACCTAGATGGAAGACAACATTAATTGATATTTGTGATCAATTTTATGAATAGGTGTTATATTTGCAAAATTGCAAATCTAAGTTGCCCTTCCAAGTGAAAGACTTAAATGGATCTTAAGCTTTTTTATTAATGAAATTCATTGCTGAGTACGTTAACGGATATTAATGGATACATTTTACGATTATAATTATATGTCTTATTTTTTTGAATGGCAATTAGAAAAATCTATTGAGGCTCAAATCAAAAAGGCAATATTGATTATTATTTGTGTTTAAAAAATTGTGATGTGTATATCTATATGATTATATGAAGATCACAATAATTGACATATTTTTTATGTAAGTAATAGTAGGTTAGGAAATAAGATTAGTTTTAGGAAAAAGGTTAACAAAAAATGCAAGCTCACTTTTTATTATTGGATGCTTCGATTCCAAAATTAAGAATTATTTAATCTACATCGATATCAATATAATTATTAGACAACATCACATATATTGCTCAGATTCCAAGATGATTAGCTAAACAATTATAATGAAACCGATGTGCACGCGACCCGCTTAATCAGATGGATTGAAAATCTTGAGCAATCCTTTGAGTTATACTTATCATTATTACTTAACTAAGGCATATTTTACGTGGATAGGGTACGTAAATTTTAAAAATATGTTAATAAATTCAAACAAGAGGAATTCTTTAATTTATTTTTAGATAAACCGTTTGATCATGCATTATATTATGGATATTACGTTTCCTGCAATTTTAAGATTTTACATTTTTACCTCATTCTAGTTTCTTGATTTTCTTCGTTTTTTTTTTGTCATTTATTGCTATTTTAGACGATGCGCTTTGTTTATCTTCATAACATTTGGTTTATACTAAGCTTAGTTTTATACACTATATAGATCAGAAGATAAACTCTCGAATAAAACAATACCACAGATTAAAAAAATAATATTAGCAAGGTATTTCAATATAAAAAAACATGAACTGTAATTGGCTATAAATTGTATCACAATGCAGGTTTTTGAAATTATTTTATGTTTAATAATATCGTAGATTTTTATAGTGTTAATGTTAAATATAAAACGAATACGAATGCTAAAATGAGTCGTAGTCGGCACATGGCGGTGTGTGACGTCACACCCCCTCCCACCCCAGCGTTATCGATCGTGTCACCCCGCCACCCGTAGACGGTTCAGTTGTGTTGGCGATTTTGGTTTTCTTTACTTTATATGTATGTTCGTGGAGGAGTTTAGTAATCAATTTCACTACAGTTTTTAATAATAAAGGAGTCCGAATAAAGTTATGATGTCACATTTCACAGTTATTAAAATCGTTATACTCGAATTGATTTCTATTCTAGTTCTTCTACATTTCTAGAACACATATCAGATAGGTAAATAAGTAGTATTTTTACTTTTCAAGAATACTCCAATGAGTCGTTTATCAGATCGTATTTGCACAAATATGTCATTGAATACGGTTTTATTTTTTGTATGAAATGAAAATTCTGTCAAGTTGTTATCCATCCTCATAAAAATCAAGTAGTTTGTTTCTAAAAAAGTTCTTATATGCTTAACAATTTTTATTAAAATTATTATAAAAACATCTTAAAAATTAACACTAACTAGTTTTTATTCGAGTTTCTTATTGTTGAGCTTTTAAAAATTATATAACATATAATTATCTGTTGTAGTTTTGCAAAGAATATAATAATCATAAGACAGTATAGCTTACAATTATTGATAGAGGTAAATTTAAGGAAACCTGATTTTCAGATACGCCAACCCAGCAATCGGTTAAAGGCGACAATGTAAACAACACGCCACAACAGGCATACTGTCAATCTCGGGAGTACCAGCCTCCAGGGCAACAAGGGCTACCTATGTACCCACCTGGGCCCCATCACTGGGACAGACAGGCGTATGAGCCAGCCGGGGATATTTCTTGCTTGTGAGTCCCGCCCAACTTGATTTTGATCCCGTAATCCAAAAGCTCCTCATGTCCTATTTCATCCCATTTTCTTTATTTATTTCAAATATTTAATATAATTTAAACAATTATAACTTTGTCTTATGGACCAAAAAATTCGCTTCACGAGAAATAACATACATCCATTGTTATAAAAAAATGAGTGCCCACCCATTACTCTGGCACTAATGTATTTGGATGATATTGATATTCAATTGTATGTGAAGGTGTTTTGTTTAATTAACTTTTTCAAAGATATCCTAGTTTTCCATGATATAGTCCTTCCTTATCCTATCCAATAATCCTGTGGCTGCGTAGCAATGGACTTGGTTTCTTATAGGTATCATAATGTATACATAGCTTGTCGCAAAGGTAAAATATAATATTTCTACATAATTTGATAATTTTTAGCTGTAATATACGGTTGTTCATTTAAAAAAAGGTTGCTTTGTGACAAGCCTCCACATAGATTACAACGAGAATGTTTGGCTGGATATTTTTTTAATTTCATTTCTTCGTCGATCTAATAAAAATAAATGTGTAAAATATATAGACATTTGCTCTTATAGATGTTCGTTTATTTTATTTTGTTTGGATAGGCAGTATCATTCCCTGACATTCGGCTTAAACGTTTTTGAAGATAATGAAATGGCAAAGATACTGCCTAGACAAAAAGAGTCATTGTTAATGTCCTAGAAGATATTTTTTTGGAATAATGTTTTCTAGCTGTAGGTAAGTGTATTTTGTTAGCTTAAAGAAGCCAAGATGAATGTTAGACTGCCACCGCGCCCTTTCCTTCCCTTTTTGTTTTCCCAACGCCCGGGCTGCAATAGTTTTATTTACAATATGATTTTATAGGTGCCTGCGAGATATCAGACCCTTTATTAATGTTGTTTACATTGTCGCCAGGTATGCAATTTTATAAATAATAACATTATATTTAGCATTTCCGAATATTTGGAAGGATCACTTGAACACACCTTTGATATTAAAAAATAATAATCTGATCGTTCCATTGATGTCGGCTCCATTTTAAATAGTGAAATTAGATGAAACCGAGTTTTAGTATTTGGTATAAAATCGTTTGCGTCATCTAAAGTTGTTTTTTTTTTTAATTATAAAACCGCATGAGATGCCAGCAATTTAAAAAGTGCTTACTGATATTTAAAAAGTTGTGGACCACTTTGCATTTTACAGAGAAGCAAAATTGTCCGTATTAGATTATAAATTACTAGTGGAAATTTAAATATCTTCACATATACAATATGTTTGACGTAGAATAAATAATTCAATGCGATCGTGATACAGAAATCAGTATATATGAAGATACAAATTTTATGTTTAGGAGCATGAATGTTGGTCTTAGTTGTGAAATTAATGTTTTATGTGTCATGTAAAGTTACTGTAATGCTGGATACCATCTTATAGCATATTAAGTGACAGTTTGTAAAATAAACACGTTTTCACTTCTGTGTACAATAAAATTTTCAGGTACTATGTCAAACGAATGCCACTTCATTTTTTATAGTGATTCTTAATAAGCTGTGGATGGTATCGACGAATGTATGCAATAACAAATTAACATATGATATCCAACAGTGAATTTGTCATTAGATATAAATATATGCTGTTGTATGAAATGGACAGCATTTTCAATAAATTAGAATCCAGCATTCACTGTTGATTTAAGTAACATTTGCTTTTAAGTAGTGAATAAATAAATTATTTTGATGTCAACGAAAATGCTGACTGTTTATGCTTACTAAAAGCTCACTTTACTGAAATCTTCAACCAAGTTCATGAATATTAAGCACTTCTCTAGCATCCGCTGCAGTAGTACAGTAGTAATTCTTTATTAGTGTATTAGATGGTAACTAATTTAATATCGCCATTAATCGTTATTTCCTCTTTTGTTACAGCGGCCCAGATTCCACAGAGAGGCAGTGAGTATTATTCTTTTGCTACACTAGTTTGTTAATGTATGGAGATTCAATACACACTTTAAATTCTTCTTCTACCGTTTTATAAATATATTCTTTTTATTTTGTAATTTTATTATGGTTTTAAAAATTTTGATTCTTGCCACATATTTTAAAGTATATGTTATTATTGATGTGGTTCCAGGCTGCAAGCGCAAGGAGGACATGGGTTCGGATACTCTGCCTTCCCCGAAGAAACCTCGTTTGGTTTTCACAGACCTCCAGCGGCGTACTCTACAGGCTATTTTTAAGGTGAAAAAAGTTGTAATTATTTTCTATTCAACAAAATTACAACTAGATATATTCTAAGATTGAAACTTTGGTTATATTTACGATATTTTTTGATATATAATTTGCTCCAGTTACTCAAATATGTGCTTGCATTTTGTTATTTTAGTTAAAGTTTTAATATGATAATTAAGGGTTTGGCGATATAACATTACCTTTTATACAACTTAGTTTTATATCAATATATGGTTGTATGTATTGTAATGTAACATATTCTATTTTCAAATTGTAGGAAACAAAACGACCATCAAAAGAGATGCAGGTGACGATAGCGAGACAGTTGGGCTTAGAACCCACGACGGTAGGTAATTTCTTCATGAACGCGCGGAGACGGTCCATGGACAAGTGGAAGGATGATGACGCTCCGTCAACAGAGTTGGATCAACAGCTGGATGGCCAAGACCTGGATCATGTGCCCAGTCTTGACTCCGCAGAGTCTGAGGAAGACCACGACGATCAGGACGACCATCTATTGTGACGCCGCATACCGCAGCATCATCTCATAGTGCTATGAAAACTTCTCAGAGTTGTCGATGGACGTATGACTATGGTAGGTGGCTTGGATTCATTTTAACTTTCCTAATCGCTCGATAAAGCGAAATTCAGATGGAACTTAGATATAATTTGTTTGTGATAAATGTAAAACCTATATCTTCATTCAATACTTTAAATTTAGTGTTACCAAGTTTATAAATGTGTTAATGCTCTGTCACGATAAGGGATCGGAACTTAGGCTAACTTTACATGTGTTTCTGTATTCTACAGTACAGTACAGTTCTCTGTTCTCAAATAAAGTCACACATACTTAATTTGGGTCCAAGCTGCCTACCGCAGGCAATGTCCCGCCATTCTTCAGGCAACTTCTAAAGTAATAAAATGTACAGTAACTTAAATAAGTTTAAGTGCTCGGTTATGTTTGCGAATAAGGCTGGCTATTATCTTAACATAGGGTGAATTTGCCATAAATTAGTGCGTAGGATAGAAAATGTGCAAAGTATTTTTAGTAAGTATAATTTGTATACTTCTCATCTCACATATTTCTATTTTGATATCTTAGAATGGAGTTATTTGTTTTATAAACAATAATTGGCTCTGATTTATTATCTAACTCTGTTCTCAATCATACTGAATTTATTGGTTATTTTAACTTCAAAATTCAATGATAGTAAGTACCTATAGTATCAACCACTATCATAGAATGTTGAAATCTTGCTCTTTTCTCTTTAAAAGTATCTCTACAGTCACATGTTAATGGCATCTTTATCCTTATACATGATGATTTAAGGTTGAAGACGTTGATCTCTCAATATCGAACGTTTCTAGTCAGTTGGTAAGATATAGCTAATAATGAATTGTTTGTAACTGTACTATGAATTTAGGTGAATTCATTTTTTTTCGTACGAACACTTGAGAATATTTATAGGATATTCTTTTGTTTTTTTTTATAACTAATGTGAAAATTACCTTTGTCGTATTGATTTGTTTTTACGTAGGCAAATGGAAAGAGTCCGTAATATTTTCAAGTGTCTGTTTAGCTTTTTTAGATACACGTAAACTGAAACATGTTGGTTTCTATAAAATGTAAAATAAAAATGTTTTATGTAGTTGACTGAAATGACTTTCTAATTAGAAGTTTTGCAATAAAGCAAAAGTGTAAGGGTCGTCATTAAGATTTGTAAAAATAAACGGATATTTATAATAGAATAACCGGTGGCACTAGTGGTAATATCCGATCAAATCGGACAATTCGTGCATGTACAGTCAAAAGTAGCTTAAAGGAATTTTGAAGAAATTAACTATGAACCGAAAAATAATTGGAATTTTTCTAACATGTGTTAATATTAATCTCAATGATACTATTTTTATTTTTGACTGTGCTGTACGTTGCGTTTTAGATAGACATGAGTTAACAGGGCAGATGGCTCGTTTTTGCCATTTTAAGTACAATGACTTAGTTTTGGCCATCTTATTCGAGAAAGTGAATTTCGACATAAAACAGCTGTCAATGGTATTAGTTTTGCCATAATTAAAAATTTTATAGTCCATACATGGTAAAGTAAAACATTGGCGCATTTGTAAGTCCTAAGTGATCAAAAAGGGGCTAATGGCCAAACTGGGTCATTCCCTGTGTCGTTTTATATCAATTTCATACATTAAGACAAAGATAAACATGGAAAAATGTTTTAGTCAATGTTAATATAAATTACGTTCCAATAAAAAATGGCTACTTTATAGATAGTTCCAAAGACATAATTAATTTTGATTAAGTAACTGACTTGACCACTCTACCGCTGCTGTTTTAAATTGCCCATAATACTTAATCAGCTGAAGTTTCTACAAGTGAAATTAATTCCAAATAAGCAATCTGTAACGACAGCTCCAACGTTAAGAGCTGTCCTTCCACTGTGACCAACAAAACTAACCAACTGTTTGTGAATAATGCATAAAATTATTCAATTCAATTACATATATGTATGTAGTTAAATTCAAATAGTTACATGATTGATCTCGTGCTGTTATTTTAAAACAAATTGCAATGAATACAAAAGCAAATGAGAATTATTGTAGTATAATAACTTCATGATAATAAGAACGGTTTAAAACCTGTGATTGCAAATTAAAACTGCTAACAAATTATTTCTTAAGTCCTTTATTTAAGGCATATGTGGCGGCATTCTTACTTCAGAAAACATATTGTATACAATTACAGTTAAATGAACTTCAATTAGCTTTGCGGTAGACTCGCATATGTTACAGTACAAGTCTTGTTTAGAATATTTTGGAGAATAATACAGCTGAATTCAAGTACAGTCAACAAAAATGCCACATTTAACAAAACAATTTTAAGCCTTACTTTGTTGACATTTATGTTCGAGATTGGACAGAAATGTGGCACTTTATGGTTACCTGATACGCTGCTGTGTATAGAACTTTAAATGATATGAAAAACAATTTATTTGTTAGATATAAACGCTAACGTTAAAATCATATTGTGACTTCACAACACGATTGTACAGTATTGACTAGCTTACTAGTTACGCAATAGAATTTTCAACCGTTTCTTTAATCATAATTTTGTCATTTTTAGTGTGGCGTTAAAAACGAAACGCTTCTATCATTAGTTTTGGCAGTCTAAAGATGGCGTTGTTGTTAATTTCCAATTAATAATGTAACTTTTATAATGATGTGTTTTGTGCTTGTTGTGTGATATTAAGATTGTCGAAATGAAAGTATCTAGAAATTAAGATACATTGGACAAAATTAACATCGAACAACTCTTTCTCATTAACATTAATATTATAAAAACTAAAATAAGTCAGTTTATTACATTAATAATATCACGTCACATGCACTGAACATGTGATTATGAATGATAATAACGCCATCTATAGACAATATAACCGAATGACGGCAACGTGATTTAAACAAATAGATTTATACCTGAGGTTATTTATACCTGTTATCCTGTTTATTTAGCGAATATTAGCTCTTAATACATACGTGTGACGTATTTTTAAAATGTCCACCTTTCTAGTCTGACGATCTCACATGCCGATTGAATAACGTGAGTAAAATTGCGTGATATTATACCTTAAAACTGTAATATTTAGATATATATTTGTTTAAGCGATTCTTTTTAAATTTAAGATTGATCTAGTCCAAGAAATAAGGTAGCTAATTTAATAACAGAACATTTTTTTTATTGTTAAAAGTATTATTAATCCGGTTATATTTTAAATAGAATTTTAAAGTGTCAATTACACTCAGCCCACGCGCTCGCATACAAAAATGGGCTTCGAATTAAAGTGTTATGTGAGCGTTTAAAGGAGCCTTTCCCAAAGTTGGTGATAACGTCCCCTCGTGGGTGCTGCAGACCTAAGGGATTCGATAAGAGACCCAGTAAAATAATATAGAGTGTTATGGGGCGATTTATAATTTCATAAAGGAGGACGCTTCGACACCGACTGAGCTCTCGACTACAACGTGAACATAAACTAATATTAATTAAGAGATTTTTGATTAATTTTTTTAATTAAGAGATGCAACCTTGGAGTTTTATTTGACTCTCTTCATGGCGTCCAGAGATTGCCGAAGTCAGTGGAATGATGTTTGCTACTGCCGGGTCCCTTTGACGTTTGCGAAATTTTCACCCACTGCTACCAAAATATCTATCACATAATCTCTTCTTTTGCCTAGTCCTTTTTTTCTAAAATAACGCATCAAGTTTTTATGTTCCACTAATGACCTGCCTTGGCTCATCAGTTGTCGCCTCTCGGTTCCTCAAAACCGTACAAAATTCTACAGCCTATCGTTTACGTTACATGCGACTCGAATGTGGAATTCTTTGCTCGAAGATATCAAATGCTCGCAGTCGTTCACCTCTTTTAAATCTAGGGTAAAAACGCATTTTCTGTCTGGTGGGCATAATTCTTAAAATCTGAACTCTTTCCTTGCCTTCATCCTTATAGGTCACGGTATTTTCTATGCATGTTTCGTACTTCGTATCGTACCCATATGTATTTATATTATAGTAATATTAAAGTCGATATTTTCTTAAATAAATATAAAATATTGGATTGTACGGAGTGAGATCGACGATCTATATCGTACAATACAATTAAGGGAGTAGTTCGCGCAACGATAAAAAGTTCTATGGATAGCGATATATATCGCTTATTTTGAACGCTCACGTAATACTTTGGGTCAACGCCTATTATTTCGCCTGTAGGCAGAGGCGGATTTACAAACTTGGCCTAGGTTAAGAAGTATTTTAGCTTTCATGATTTAGATACTGCACATGAATTTGCTTTCTTGACAACCTTTATTGAAATAGATTCAAAATTTTAGTAGTATTTATACCGTGATGAAATAATATAAATATTGATAGCATTTTCTGGAGCATGTCAGTGTAGAATAGATGTGCCTACAAAAGATTAGATTGCAGGTATATGAATCTGAAATGCGCAAGTTGCTGTAGGGTATATGTAACCGCCGATTAATGATTTCTATGAATGTGCGGTACAGTCATTGACAAAAAGGGTTTTATATATAAGACAACTGTGGAAAGAATTCGATAAATTGTTGATTTTATTTTCAATAATTACATTCCATTATAATATTGTATTACTTAAGTTTGACCATTCATATTTGTAATAAATTCGTGCATGTTACAATATAATTTGACCACAATAACATATTTGTTGTTGCTCGTTACTGGTTTATTTATAAATATTTATATTATATTAATACATTACTTTTTGTGCATTAATTATAAAAAAAAATATTAGAGTACCTAAAACAATTATTTTAAGTTTAGTTTTAAATATTTATTTCTTGCTAATCAAATGCTAGTCCTTATTTAAGTCACCAAAGAGTAAAGACATGTGCAATTTTCAAGTTTAAAATAATTTATTTATATTGTACAGATAATAACATTACAGATTATAACAAAATATCAAATTCCCACGACCGATTATC